GGGGGGGATTTTCCGCCCTCCTTTTCCACTTCTCCACTACCCCCCTCTCCTCCTTCGGCCAACTTCTAGCCCATCTTTTAATAGTTGCACAACTTCCCGCCCGGCTGTCATCAATTGATGCTAAACTGAGACTGACAAGGCTCCTGGGGAGTGGGAGGGGGTCGACAGGAGGGGTACCGAGCAGACTTTTGTACAGTAAAACAGCTGCTACCTAAGCTCCTGGGGGAAGGGCGAAAGGTCCCCCCCCTATGAATCCGCTAATTCGCCGGGTTGGGCATATGTTTAGTGCGTGCAGCTGTTGATGTATGCATATGTGTGTACGCGTGCATGGCGTGGTGATGATGATGGTTGGTTGTTGAGGTGGCATGCGATGGCCCAGTCCTGGATGGACGTTGTGTCCTCGCAGAGCAGCAGCATTCGGAGGCCGTTGAAGCGAGAGCGCTCCGAGTCGACCAGTGTCTCCACGGTGCGCACCGATACGAAGCCGAACATCAAGCAACAGGTAGGCCTCACACATCTTCGGTTGTTGCACCAATTATGATCATTTGGCTAGAGACCTTGTTTTTTTGCGCATCTCCGTGTCAGCTGGCGAGGCTTTGCTGCTCCTGCTTTGGCGGCTGAGTGATTTTTTTTTGCTAGGATCCAGATCTTCCCGATTAGAGCAAATGGCTAAGATAATTACGCTCTGTACGTTGAAACTTCTCACGCTGCACATCGATAAGGTTGTGCATTTGTTCCAGTTCTGTTTGTAGTTCAGAAACTTGTACACTAAAAAATGAAAATATTTTAAAAGCTTTGTTATATCTATTCAAATAATAATTAGAGCGTTTTAGAAAACGCCCTGGGAATCGCTGTATGACTCTTAGTACGTTTAATAAACCCACAACATGATAAGCAGATTGTAACAACCAGATTGACCCTGGAAGCCCAAATGGCGAATGCGCGATAGATTACAATATGAGAGAAGGAGGTAAGAATGAGATAAGACATTTGGCCTCAGTTTAAGTCATATACGCCTTAACTCAACACCGCGCGACAGCTTCTCGTGAGTATGCCGGTAGCAGTGCTTAATGGAAAAGGAAAAGAAATGAGGAAGAGTGCAGAAAGAAGCAGAAGGAACGACAATGTGATAGTGGGATTAGATGGAGTAAGAGTGGGGTGGAGAAGGAAGGGAAGAGGAAGGAGAAAAAAAAATTTTAAAAGGCCGATTTTTAAAAAAAAAGGAATCGAAAAAAGATTTAAAAATGATAATTATGCATTTTGTGCTGTGTAACAGCGTTACAAAACGCATATTGTCACGGGATTGTCTGTGTGTATATGTGTTTGTGTGTA